TATCAGCCACTCCTCCCCACTTGGTGTCATCAGGAAATTTGCTGAGGGCACACTCTGCCTCATCATCCAGATCGTTAATGAAGGTGTTAGAAAGGACTGGCCCCAGTATTGTCCTCTGGGGTACGCTGCTAGTTTCTGACCTCCCACCAAGCTCCATGCCACTGATCACCATGTAGCCAAGGAGGTAGTGATTTTGAGCAAGCCACGTTTTCTTGTCTGGTACATATTCAGAAAGATTTGGTAGGATTTGCAATGGTGATTTCTGTTCCATGTCATACATGGGGAAAAATTTGATGTTCCATTCTCCTCCTCACCAGAGGTGGGTAAAGAAAAAGCAGTGCTGTTGTTGGTGACAACGGATGTCATCTGTACAGGGACCATGCTAGACTGGTGCAACATATTGTGGAAAGGAGTACTCCAAGGAAACTGAAAGCTGGGGTTTAGAGATGATTTGGAGACTATTCTTCAAACCATATAAGCCCATGTTTTGTGGAGACCAGGAACAATTTACTTCCTCCCTGGCCAAGGGCTGAAACTGTGATTCTATGAGATCCTTTCCCTCCCAGCTCAATTCTTCCATTAATGGTAACAGATCTAAGCTGAAACTTGCCCAGTCTGGATAATCCACTTATTTTATGGTGAGCTTTGATCTGAGTGAGGACTTCTTGATCCTGAAAACACACAAGAAGAACTGGGTGAGGATGTGAAGGTCAAGGGTGGAGGGCATTATTTTAAATGAGAGAATTTAGCAAGGTGAAGAGCAAAATCATGACCCTGGATGACCGGGGAGCAAATGAACAGGGAACTCCTGACCGACCTCAGATCAGAAAGGAAGGACACAAAGTGTACTTTTTCCTGGCACTGCTGACTTCCTGCTTGGTCAGCAGACTGCTTTTATGTTCTTGTAATAAAGGCATTCTCTAACTCTTCTTTCCAGAGCTGATGTGAATGTATAAACCACTTATTAAAAGGACAATCAAACTGGCCCTGAGGAAGTGCTCACTAAAGCACTTTCCAGGTAGAGGGCAGACTCTTGGTCCTGTCCGTTAGGCAGCAGGGCTCCTTCTCATGAAGCAATTCAGTGTAGATCTGTTTTACACATCAGAGTCTAAAAAGTTCTTGAGAAATCTCAAGAACAGTTGAGACAAAGGCCACACTCTGTCTTTGTCTTGCGTGCAGCTGCTTCCTGTTTGGCTCTTCTGAGGTCTGAACTGTCCTTTCAGGGCAGAATCAGCAGTAGCAGTTTCAGCTCCTGGTAACGAGGTATTTTCTGTCTGGTTAAAAATTTAAACTCTATATAAGCCTCCACAGAGTAAATTCTATGAAGAGGAAAAGAGAGAGCAGAAGGAAAGTTCACTCATTGCAAACAAAACCTAAACCTATAGTTTGCAATTGATAAAAGCAAAAAAAAAAAAAAAGAAAAAAAGAAAAAAGAAAAAAAAAGTGGTGGTGAAAAAAGATGCTGGGAATTGAGTTTTAAAGATGGATGGGTGGTGGAGAATGTTTTTTTTTTTCCAAATCACTTTCAGAAATAATGACCTGCAGCTGACATCTACAGCTGATGTCAGACATTGACTGTAATTTTAGACAAGTTATGCTGGGGGGGGCAGGGGGCAGAACTGAAGCAAAAGGAGAGGGAGAAGAAGAGGGAAAGGGAGAAGGAGAGAAGGGAAAAGGAATGCTGTCCCCAGAAAGCAGCCAAGAGCAGCAACTGGGTTTTCAGGCGAGTGTCCTCTCACAGGCAGCCTCTCTGCTATGGCAGGGGGTTCCCAACACTCCTCCTGTATAATAACTGCATGCTTCTCCTCAGGATCTTCTCAAATGCCCTGTTAGCCGCTGCTCTTACGATGCTAATCAGAGCATGGCTTTCTCAGAGGCAGGTGTGGCTTGTTGATTAGCTATAAGATGACCCAGATATCCAGTGCCCTGGGGAGAACACAGGCGATCAAGGCATTAGGACATGCTCCCTCAGGACTTCACTTCCACAAATGGCTGACAAACACAGGTGTCCAGGTTTGCAGGCACCCTGCCCTTCTCTTTCAACTGGACACTTCATCCACAAACTGTAGAAGCAACCGAACACCCAGGGCATAAGGAACCTCCTCCTTGCAAGCTAGAGGACCCAGGTGTTCAGGTCAACCCTGTACTTTCCTCACCTCTGGGAGGACAAAGGCATGCAGGGTCAAAGCACCCTTTTCCTGCTGTAACCTCAGGGTTCCTACTCAGCTGGGGTGGAGAACGCGGAGCCCATGGCACAGGCCCCCACAGAGGAATCCTGTGGTGGCCACTGTGGAGGACTCCAGCTTTCACGCTTGCACAGCAGCCTCCATGGGAAGCCACAGCCTTGATGCCTGTCCAGCTTATAGAGTCCTGGTGCCACCGGAGCAGAAGATCCCACTGAGTGACAGCACTGCATCTTCCTGGTTGGAGCCCCACCTCATTTCTATGGCCCCCAGAACCTCACAGACACGCTGCCCACTGACATGACATCCAGCCTCCGCTCCTTCTTGCATCCCATGCTCACCACAGGGAAGAACCACAGACAAGAGAGACAGGAGCCATGTGCTCAGTCTTCCCAGCCTTGAAGGCATAGAAGCCTCCACCATCTGGTCACGCATCAGGGCACCTGGCAGTAAGCCTTCAGCAATGAGTGCTAGCATCCTGGTCCTATAGTCGTGGCTCAATTAGATGATCTAGTCTCCCAAGGAGCTGCCCTTTGACCTCATGGCAAGAACCACTCAACACTTGGACATGATGCCACAGCAGCTTGGCAACCACTGGACCCATGATCCCTATCATGATGTTTCACCTCAGCATACCAACACAATCAAACTTTGACTTTGGTGATGGCCTCTGGGCCATGATTCCAGACTGTTGAAACTTCGAGCTCCTCTTGCTACTTCACCTGCCTTGTGCCCTCTTGAGTGCCCCATGCTCCCCTTGACACAACCTCATCACCCTTGTGTTGGCTTCATGTGGCAATGTTTTAGTAGCAGCAGGGCTGCAGGGGTGGCTTCCGTTAGAGGACACCAGAAGCTGCACCCATGTCAGCCAGAGACAGTTGCAGCTGGCTTCAAGATGGACCTGCCGCCGGCCAAAGCTGAGCCAATCAACGATGTTGGTAGCACTTCTGTGCTAACATGTTTAAGAAGGGGTAAAAACTGCTGCACAACAGCAGCTGGGAGGGAGAAGTGAGAATATGTGAGAGCCACAACTCTGCAGACACCAAGGTCGGTGAAGAAGGAGGGGGAGGAGATGCTCCAGGCACCAGAGCAGAGATTCCCCTGCAGCGCATGATGACACAGGTTGTTGCCCTGTAGCCCGTGGAGGACCATGGTGGAACAGATATCCAACCTGCAGACCGTGGAAGACCCCACCCCACAGCAGATGGAGATGCCCCCATCAGAACAGGCTTCTTGCAGGGGATGCAGCCTGTGGACATGAGTCCACACAGGAGCAGGTCTCCTGGCGTGACCTGTGGCCCTGCAGGGGACCCACACTGGAGCAGTCTGTTCCTGAAGGACCACACCCCATGGAAAGGACTCCTGCCAGAGCAGTTCTTGAAGAACTGCAGACCATGAGAAGGACTCACATTGGAGAAGTTAGTGCAGGACAGTCTCCTATGGGAGGCACCCCACACTGGAGCAGGGGAACACCATGAGGAGGAAGGAGCAGCAAAGACAAAGTGTTATGAGACGACGCCAACCCACATTCCCCATCCCCCTGTGCCACTTGAGGGGAGGAGGTAGAAGAGTCAGGAGTGAAGTTGAGCCCAGGAAGAAGGGAGGGGTGGGAGGAAGGTGCTTTTATATTTGTTCTTATTTTTCATTATCCTACTCTGTTTAATTGGTAATAAGTGAAATTAATTTTCCCGAGTCTGTTTTGCCTGTGACAGTAATTGGTGAGGTCTCTCCCTGTCCTTATCATGACCCATGAGATTTTAATCATATTTTCTCCCCCTGTGCTGTTGAAGAGGGAGAGCGATAGAGCAGCTTGGTGGGCACCGAGTGGCTAGCCAGGGTTAACTCACCACAGTCCTCTAAACCCCTTCATCACCACCTTCACCTTCCACACACCCCCAGTCGCCCACAACCTCTCCATGTCCACTGACCACACTGTTCATGAAGGGTCTACCAGCACTGCAACATTTATTATTGTACTTTATTTCCCCCGCTCTCAAGGCATGCCAACAGCACATGCTACCCCACAACCTTCAGTGGCCTAGGCATCCCATCAGCCCCCACGCCCCTCCTACCTTCATCCAGCCCTGCTGCAGGGCTGGACAGTCTGGAATTCCCTGTGGCAAGTCCACGGTGAGTCTGCGACAGGTCTGTGGTGGGTCCATGGTGGTCCCATTGCCCAGCTGCCAGTGCCCCCTCTGTGGGGGCATCCTCACATTCTGCTCACGTGGTTCTGCAGCCTCCCCAGCACTTCCTGCACCCGCTTCAGAACCTCCTCCTCATCCACACTGTGGAAGGCCTCGTTGGGGGTGATGGGGAAGGGGTGGTAACTCGGGTACTGTGTGGCCTTGTCATCCATGCCACAGCCATGCAACCACTCCACCTCCTTTGCCAGGCCCCTCAACTTTGGCTCCACCGCCTCCAGCCATTGAGACAGCCCCACAAGCCCCACTGGGGCCTTAAAGGCCTCACCATGGCAAAGTGCAGCAGCCACTAGCGCCTTCTCCAGGGCCTGGTGTGCCTTGAAGAGGACCCAGTTGGGGCAGCAGTGCCTGATGTCATTGTGGGCTGCCTGCAGGTCACTCTCGGCCTGCCGCAGCCACCGCTGGGCTTCTGGGATGGATGGAGTCTGGGCCATGGCCTCCTCATTGCACAACCAGGATCCATGGCCTTCCTGTCCCCTGCTGTGGTGCTGGGCAGCGCTCGCAGGGCTGTGCTGGAGGTAGAGATCCTGCAACACCTTTGGCCGCTTGAGAGCACACAGATGCTGCAAGGTTGCCAGGCTGTGATCCACATTGCCATTCCCCTCTGGCATCAGGCTGTGCCAATCCTTGCATGGCTTCCCCTCTGCCACAGCGTCCTCCTGCAGCCTCTTCTCTGGATCTGGCTCCGGATCTGGTGCCATGACCTCCTCTGGCTCTGGTGCAGCACCCACGAGTGCCACATTGTTCTCCTCCAGAACAAAGACCACGTCCTGTGGCTTCTGGCAGACCAGCATTTCACGCAGCACTGACAAGGCAGGTGCCTCCAGCTGTCCACCCAGGATGATATTGATCTCCTCCGCCAGCGTCTCCAGGACCCTCAGCTGGTGCCGGTCCAGCACCATCTCTGCATGCCGGATGTAGAGGAGCCGCTGGGCACCATCAGCCACGTGCACATAGACAACCCGTGACTGGGTGCTCCCCTCCACCTTTGCACCACAGTGGACCAGCACAGTGCAGATGTCCTCACAGCACTGCACTCTCAGCTGCTCCGCTGCAAAGTCAACATCCCCTTCCATCCTCATCATAGCCCTGTGGCTCTGCCACTGGAGCAGGGCTTTCAACCCCATCCTAAACTGCAGTGATACCAGGAGGGTCTGCAGACGCCTCTGCCCAGGGCAGTGAAAGCCATAGCGACACAGCCGCAGACTGCCCTCCTCCAGCTGCTGCTCTGTCACTTCTGAGAGTGCCCGTGGCCGCAGCCGCGATGGTAGCATTTGCAGCAGCCACCAGGCATTATATGCGGTCCCGGGCAGTTCAGCCATGAACACAAAGGTCTTCCCCAAGGCCCTACAGGTATTTGAGGACACGCAGTCATTGAAGTACAGCTTGTGGGATGACTCGAGGCAGTCAGCAGTGCTCAGCAAGTACAGCTCATCCACAGTGGAGAAATCAGGGGGCTTTGGGGCATCTCGCAGCAGCTGGAAGAAGTGCCGTGTGGCCAACAGGACTGTATTCTTCTGGATAGCATTGAGGGTCCCACTCACATGGCTCTCCTGGTAGATTTGGGCCAGGACACGGCTGTAGTGAGTCAGCGTGGGGAGCAGGACCACCCCAAGATGTTGCAGAAGGTCTCCGTAGACAGCTATGTGGGGGTCAGGCTTGAGGAGATAGGGGTAAAATTCAGCCTCATCTGGGAGGGATATCACCACTTGCCATGGCATGGCCATGTCCCCTGACTTGGCCAGCACCACAGGCAGCTCAGCAAGGCGCCCTGTGTCCACCTCCTTCAGACAGGTCTGCAAGAAGTTGTACACCTTCTGGAGCACTCTGGCCCGTGTGTTCACCTGCTGTGGCGTCTGGCAGGCTGCCCTGCACACCTGCTCCAGGTTGGCCACCACCAGGGCAGTGGGTATCTCTACGAGGACTCCCATGGCCTGCAGGACATCCTTGAGGTCCTGCCTGAGTGCAGAGGACCTCGGCAGGATGGTGGCTGATGTCCACAGGAGCTCAGCCACATCTTCTTGGCAGTGGTAAACACTGCCCTTCAGGGCCACAGGCTTAATGCAGGCTGCAAAAGGGGGGTGGAGGTCCACCAAGCTCGGGGGGATGTCCGCTGAAGGCAGGAAGTGGATTGAGGCAATTTTCTCCAGGAAACTCACTGATAAGGGACTATCCAACATGGTGCCAAGCATGTTGAGCATCTCCTGCTGTCGTTCCAGCAGGTCTTCAGCGTGGTACCTAGCCTGAGTGGCTTCACGCTCTATCTCCAGGGCCAGTTCCACAAAATCCTCCTCAGAGAGGCTGGTGCGGACACCTACCTGAAGCAGGAAATACTTAATATCTTCCTGGCTGTAATTTAGCTCCACAAAGAAAGACTGAGGCACAAAGCGGTGTTGGAGATGCAGAGTGCTGAAGGAGGGTGTGTTGTCATAGAAGAAGGAGGCCTGGCGCAGCACACCATTGGCATCAGGTATAAAGGCCACAGTCTGAAAAGCTGCCACAGCAGCTTTCTTGAACTTAGCGTCAGAGAAACGTTGCAGGGCAAAGAACAAGCGCACAGCTTCCATAAGCTCTTTCGCTTTGAGCTGGGACAGCTGGGGCAGCACCACAGTCATGAAGAGCTGCCAGTCATCTGTGAGCTCCCACTGCAAATCCTTGGCCAGCTGCTGGTGGATCTCATCTGCTGTGAGCAGCAACAGGCCCTTCTCCAGGCTGCACAGGGCTCGGGCACCCAGGGGCAGCTCTTGGATCTGGCTCCGGAGCAACAGCACCTTGCGGTAGGGTGCCACAGATACATAGTCCCCATCATACTTCTGGAAGAGAGGCAGAAGCCGGAGCTTCTCCAGCGCCGATGAATCCAGTTTTCCCTGCACAAAGTGCAGCAGGACAGTCACATCCCGCTTCTTTAAGTCCCTCCAGCGGAGATCAGCTCTGGTGTCCACCAGCTGGGCCAGCACAGCCCTGGGCTCTGTGACCTGCAGTGCCCTTGTCTTCAGGCAGTGGTGGGAAAAGCTGAAAGGCAGTAGGGACTGCTGGAGCACAGCGATGCCCAGTTTGTGCAGCACCCTAGCCACATCCGTCTCACACTCAAAAAGAACATTGGGGAGGGAGGACAGTGGCAGTAGGCGCGTCGAGCCTTTCTCATCCCCCTGAACAGGCAGCACCACCACATCCTGGAGATGATCCATGAATGACTTCATGTCCGCCTCCAACTCCTCTTTGGCCTTCCCAACTGTGTAGACCACAGTGCTGAAGAACATCCACAGCTTCTTGAGCCACTTCTCTGCCTCTGTGGTCCAGTTCAGCTGACCCAGTGCCTCCAGAATGAGTGGTGTGGCCTCCAGAAGGCCAAGCTTCTTCACGAAGCAAGGAGGAGGCAAGTCAGAAATTAACTTGTCGGCAAAGCGGTGGCAGTGGCGGGGGAAGAGGTGGGCAAAGGAGCTGCAGAAGACTGGTTGGTGGCTGCTGAGGGCATTCAAGCAGCCATCTTGTGTGGCCAGCAGAGGCAGGCCTTCCAGTTCTGCCTTGTCCAGT